CAACATCTGGTGTTTGTCAGGACAATTTTCAGCAGCATCACGACGTCGATTGGGCTACATCAAGGCGGGCGAGCTATGCAATCTGCTATCATAATTGGTATTTGAAATAAGAGTCCTTTCCCACAGAAGTGATCATTCAGGGGCTATGGAATGAAAGAGATGGCTAACGGGCGAACATGGACTGATGCGCCTAGGGGTAGGGGGGGGGGGGGGGCGACAAAACCGCCGAGCTTCACAGCCCACGCAGGGACTCCTCGGAATGTGCGCTGGGCACACGGTCGGGGCCCCCTTCCCAAGGGGCCTCTCGGCCACTCTGGGCTGACGTATGCAGCCTGCTCTGGACAAGCGGGCGTCGCGAGGATTCAGGATAAAGCAAGAAAGAGGATAATTGGGTACGATGATCTCATGTGAATTACAATTTGTGCCACACAATACAAACGGTTGAACATTCTTCCCAGATATAACAAAAATAAAGTTTGAAATCGCTAACTTAAAGGGAGCGTTCCACATTTATATGGGGCTGTCAACTGAAATAGCCATCTTGAAGACCTTTATTTTCTGAGCTATACGCCCGGGAAAATGGGAACAGGTATGCCAGGGAGAGTATTTCAGTCGCTTTGGCATCCATGACGTCAAAATAACGCTATTTATGTCCTGCCATTTCATAAGCCACGTGGCAATGAAGGCCAAAAACGTAATTACTGGTTTATCTCTGCCGTTCGTGAATACGATTTCTAGAGATAGTTGCCGCCAATAGGCTCTCCATCAATGCTGTGCAAGGTATGGTGACGCAAGCAAATCATGACACATTGAGGAGCATGTTGACAAAACATAGAACTGTATTGCCTAGAACAGTCTTTTCCACTTAAATGTACACCAATAGGGTAACATGGGAGCTTGCTTCATGTCTGATGCTTGCTTCAATATCTTGAAATGTGAAAGTCGTTTTAAGAAAAGCACTTTAACAGAGAATGCAAATACAAGTAAACACCTTAAACTCACGGACAGACATGCACGAACATCCCGAGAAAGTGCTTAGACGCGGGCGCCTCACGATATTTGGTTTTACACACGTTCAGGATAACTCCAGCCACCTATCGGGGGACTGAAGTACTACAAATAAGTGCTGTCATACGAAACATGCATGGCGTAATCAAACAATGACGTATCGAGGAGCATGTTTAGTAAAAAGTTATTTGTTGTCTACAGCAGTCCTTTGCACTTACAAGTATGCCAATATTTTTCAGTGAGCTCATTTCATTATATCCGATGTGTGCTTCAGGATCCTCAAAAGCGAAATAAACGGAACGCTTCGTTTATTGATATCAAGGCAAGCATCGGATATGCCATAGTAGCTGACTTGTCCCTATTGGCGAGCTTTGAAGCGCGAAAAAAAGCGCTCTAGACAACAACATTTTACCGTTGAGTAGCCATGTTCTGCAATGCGTTTTCGTTTGCCATGGGGCGTTTTTATGACGTCAGAGTTGCTGCAAGACTGGTGTCAGAATTGCCACCGAAACGGACGAACCTTGACGAGGCAAGACTTGGAGCCTTGAAAGGGCATGATTGCGGGCTGCACAGAATGGTCATGCAAATGACTTTCTCAGTTCAAAGCCCATACAATGTAAGTCCATTTAAATTGACTTTCAATTTAGGTGCATTTCATTGTCAATCCAGATGACTCAGCTGACCTGAGCTGGGTTCACCGATCCACCCATCCGAGGCGGGGCGGGTTCGGGGTCGCTTTTAGGGCGCTCGCCATTTGGTCTCGGCAAGTGTGACCTACGGCCGGCTTAGGACGTGCTTAAGATTCAGTGGACGTCAGAGGGCAGGACGGACCGGCCCCGACATCCGGCACGTTAAAATCTCACCACACACTTATGTCATCTGTCAGGAATTAAGCGATCGCATGGTACGGGCCACGGTCGAAAAAACCCACCGCTTAACGCGAGCTCCGATCCCACCAATCCATCCATTCAAAAGGTTTGAATTAAATTTCTAAAATACGTACTCCCATCCGATGAGCAGCTCCATGGCAGACCGCTACTGAAAGTTTCAAGATGATGCCGCCATCGGTTCTACGACGTGTGTTGGAAGGAGCTCAGGTGTACCTTTTCTTCCGTTCCCACTACAGCGTAGACTTAAACACGGCTGGCGTCTGCCTCCATTATATTACGGTAGGTGGTACCAGTATCCGGATACAATGACCCGCCAACAGCTACCATTCATCACCCGGCTGCCTGCCAGGTCAGCCATGCCCTCATGGGCGCGGAGGACCGCTTCGGGCCGACGTCCTCATCACAAAGCGAAGTCACATGACCCTGATTGCCCGCGCCAGCTGCTGTGCCTTGGGAGGACTGTGACCTTGCGAGTCTCGGGCGTGAGGGACTGAAGGCGGACCGCCGCCTGATCCCGGTGGTGCTTTGTCTGACTTTTACCCCGCACCGGTCCGCTGGTGGTCTTTCCGACCGGGGTAGCGCCAATGGCCAGCAGCCGGTCCACCTCCCGCAGCTTGGCATCCACCTGCCTCAGCACGTCGTCCGTGGTGGAGGTCACGCGCGCGGACTGTTCAGCGTACTTCGCCAGAACGCGCTGCTGGTACGCACTGAGGCTGTCTGGTTGCTCGATGGCCGGCGGCGGGCGAGTCTGGTGTGTCAGGAAGACGGATGTCCGGACTCTGAGGACAGCTGTCCTGTTGCCCCAGCTGAGCGACCATCTCAGGGACCAGGAGACACACCAGTGATATGTTTGCATACTAGTTTCTGGTCCACCCAGTCGGAGCAACTCGCAACGGAACTGATGCGCGCAGGACGCCACACTCCCGGCACCGCCGGTCGCAGCCGGGGTCGGTGCAGCGCCGATGCTCCAGCTCCACAGTGTGGGCTGGCGTCGTGGCGGTGCTGGCCACCGTCCACACTGGCGGCAGGCTGCCCGGGACGGACAGAGCGCTGGGGGCTGCCGGAAGCCACCAGAGCTGCCGCGGCGGTGTGCCGCTTGGCGATCTTGTGCCGTCCGGGCTCGGGGTTTGCCACAATTGCCTGCGGCTCACCTTGACCATGCGGTCGGTGCCGATGTCGAGAAGAGCTGCGGTGCGCCTGAAATGCAGTGAAATATGATTTATCGCATCAAACAGGCAGCGGAAAGCATTTAATGGGAACGCATGTGACTTCTCTTCAATACGCTTCACTGAACTGTTCAAAACTAGCCCGGATCTTAATTTTTGTCTTGTAAGGCAAAAGTTCCCATCCAAACCAGTATTGATTCTCATCAATGCTTTCTTTACAATTGGTGGAAAAAGCAATTCGAAAAGTGAAACTGCACTGAGGGGATGCATTCCGGGACACACGAGGCTGGGAAAAATACGTGCTGAGTATACATGGGTAAACAATACCCGTATACAACGCACTTTATCATAATCCTTGTTGGGTGGACGCGAGTGTTGTAAATTCATTACACGTGCGTACAAGTGACGAACGATATACCTCATGAACCAGTTCCTTTTTGGTTCACATGATCAATTCACCAAAGCTGCTGTGCATATAATACGCCAGTCGATACCAAGAGTGCTGAAGCGGCTCTGAAAATCCCCGCGAACTATACGCGGTTCGTAAAAACCAAACTACGCACTGCCGTACTGACGCACGCAATAACGTAGGAACTAACGCACCTACTAACGTGCGTACTAACAAGGATCCGCACACTCGCGCCGTTTTTTCTTTCATAATAGAGTGCGACGCGTCGTCGCACACCCTGATCTGAAGCGCCAGTGAATGTGTAGGCCACGTCGGCGCTCGGGGCCAAAGTGAAACCAAAATTTGAACCCGAGCTCTTACGTGACAACCGGACGCTCTTACCACTCGGCTACCGCGCCATCACACATTGCCACGGAATAACCCGTCGCAGACAGCAAACCGTAATATGTATTAGAACCCGTTACGCAACTTAACCACTGCATTACCGGCGCCCCCAAAAGCCTGGCCAAGGTGTCCATGTGCCATTATACTATAAGGAAAACCAAAAATAATCATAAACGTTTCACGTTGTTGCGTTGCAAGCGGGGCTGCAGAGAGCAGCGACGTCCCGACCGTGTTCCGGGCTGGCCTACACGCCTTAAAACCCGCTGACGCCACCGCTTGTACCGATGAACAAAACCAAACTCACTGCATGTGGACTGTGCTGTGTGTAAGGGGATGAGGGTGATGTTTCAAATGCTGCTTACTCGTCAACCCTCTTGTTCATCTTTCCGTTGAGGTGCTGGTATTTAAGGACCCGTTGAAAAGCTTTCACATGGATATTCGTAGAGATGCCACCAGAGGTCCGAAGTCCCAATGCCGTCTTGCGGGTGCAGCCGCCCCTGGTGTCGCGCGGGTGCTCCCCAAGGCTCGCCGCCGTGACGCCGACCGACCGGCACATGTTATGCAAGTCCCGCCGCTGCAGCCAGTACGTCCGACTGGCGCTGGTGCCTGCCGCCACGTCTCTTCCGAACGTCTCCCGCACGTCCTTAATAATCCGCGACATTGGCACATCATTCAGCAGCTTTTTCTGGAAGTGGAGACGGCAACGTTGGGCGTTTGTTTCTGCATTCATTCGCACATGAGTGTGAAGACAGTCGTTCGCTTTCAGTGAGGCCGACGGCTTACAACGTGCTGGCAATTTCAAGCGTTCCTAACCGCGACGTGCAATCGGGCATCCCAATGTGCTCGCATGTTAACACCTGAAACTTTGTGAGTTGCACTCGCGCAGGACACTAGTTATGTCCGAATAAAGTCAAAAGTCTGTGGCACTAGCCTGCGACACTCCAAACATACGTTTTCTCCGTTCTCACCTTTTATGGCAGCTTTATGTAGTTCGGGGATCCTGACATGCGGTATGTTACTCATGTCGGTGGGGTGACCGTAATGGAACGGATGCACCTTCACAAGCACCGTGCCGTCCTCCCGGGTAGTCGCCACGACGTCCGACGTGCAGCGGCAGCCCAGCTGCACGTGCCCTGCGACTTGAGCCGTCTCTTCCCGGTTCCTGCCGGTGCGTACACGCCGGACCGGGAGCACAAGTAGCGGGCCGTTGTACCGCTCCGGGGTCGGCTGGAGGCGATGTTGTACACCACCCCATTGGCTGCCTCGTACTGGGCCTTCCAAGCCTGAAATTCTGAAACATGGTGATTTCTTCAGCATGCCTTTTAAAAACTAAGCCGCGCGTGGGCTTTCAAACACCGGCCAGATCTTTGAAATGACGAACATACATATATGTTGGGCTAAATATCACAATAAATTCAACATGGATTGTTTGTCACAAATGTTGGAGATGACAATGACTGTGGTTCCTGTATGCTAAAATACAATTTCGAACGCCTTATGCAGAAGGCAGATAATCTTGCATGGTACAATGGAGTAGGAATGTTTGGTAACCAACATCAAATCTACCACAAACAAAATCTTCTTACGACAAATCTATCCCTGATTACGTCATATGCCACACACCGCCGTCAATCAACGATAATGGGGTGAAGGGATGTGAACGTTTTCGCAAAGCAACATGGCTTAGATGTCATAAACAAGGAATGACGAGAAAATGCCTATGACAGCATAGCACCATCTAAACTGGAAATACATTCCGCAAGCTAGCACGCTCTACCAACTTATGCTAATTTCGCTGTGATATACAACGTTGGACTGATTAACCAATATGATCAGCAAAGCTATAACTGCACACTGTTAGAGTTTTTGACGACATTTCTACGCAACGATGGTAACGCAACGGAGGACCGGCGATCGCGTTCAGCGAGGGCATCCAGCTGACGTAGACGATGAACATTACTGTCGGTGGATGCGGCGAGCACATCTTACTGTTTTAAGGTTTCAAAAATATGCAAACAAAAATATTCCATCAGCTATGTCTTGGGTACACAACGCAGGTGAACCGATCATAAGCCCACATCAAAGCGACAAGACGCTACGGATATGCAGTTTGTATGTTGTTCACGTACCATCCACGGAACTAAACTCCTCTGTCAGCGAGTGGGTCGCCGCATCAATTCCATGCCGTTTGGCGAGATGCTCTCTGAGACCGATCACCGACCAGAAGGTTTCCGTGCAAGGCTCCCCGTCCGAAACCTCCTTGCATATCTGCAGACAATAGCGTGCCGCATGTTAAATGAATCAGGAAATCTGAGATGTCCTTGTCTGTACGTCCAATACAGCAGACTGGTACTTACAAATAAATGGCATGAAAATCGCTCCCAACAGCAAGACTATACTGTGGTAGCGAGGCAAAATCCTTGAGTCATATCGCTGTTCATTAAACATATTTTTACTATCAAGGTACCAGGCCGACAGCATTACGAAAACAGCTCAAAAATTTGCCGCGACGAGTGACACGGCTTGGCCCAGTAGCACTACTATCTAGAAGGTTTCATCTTTCCCAGCACTGATCAAAGGATACTGCAGTTTTCAGCATAGAAAATCGGAACCCTCGTAAATTGTGCTGTATCAGTGCTAGGATGTTTACTATCCCCTGCTTGTGTTCAAATGATCTTGCAACGCTGTAATGCGAACAAAAACAGCTTCTTCTCTTTGAAACAAGGAAAAGTAGCTTTACAATGCTTAACAAGCCGCGAAACACGATTGGCGACCAGGCCCAGACCAGGACAGCGCGCAGCACTGACACGAGACGCGCGCAGCTGGACGGCGGGAGGTCAGAGGTGGAATTGGAAAACGTAAGTTGACGTGTGCGGCCGGGCCCCAGTGCTCGAGCGCAACCCTTGGATCCGCGCCCTGTGGGCAGGGCCTTACCAAGCACTCAACAGCTATGGTTAGTTATGTCATTGGGGCTTTACGACGCACTCAGCTGCTGAGGCTATATGGCGTCGCCTGCCTCTCACCCTGGCAGAAAGGGCGGACACCGCGGGGAATCGAACCCCGTACCTCTGGTTTCCCAGACGCGCAGTGGTTGACGCAGGCGCCTTAACCACTACACTACCCGGCACCCCGCTACGGTTAATTAGCATCGACGTCACCCCAAGCCGATTGCCGAGGGCGACGGAACGGTTAGCCGGAGCCAGGCGGCAGCAACTCCGAGGCGCTTGGTCGTGAGACAAACGCTCGCTTACTGAGCTAAACCATCCACCATCCCCCTGAGTCGTGGGCATTACACTTTTAAAATGGTTTATGTCTGAGAATCTCGGCAAGCCAGGCAGGCTGCAGTACTGGCAGCCGTTGCCAGACTTGACACCGCCGGGCCGACCAGAGTCGACACACGCCCGCAACGCTGTGTGGCGACGAGTCAAGAACAACTCGCAGCGACAGCGGGCTCACAAGGCCAGCCGGTCTTCAGCGGCGGAGAGCACCCGCGGAGTCCGGCCAGGAGACAGCTCCGGCCGGGCGTGAGGCGCAGGCCGTTGACCGAAGTCGACGACTCCACGCGCGACAGACAAGGCCTGTTGGTGGGACCAAACCCGGACGGAGGTGGCCCGGCGGAGCGCCGAGGTCCGCATCCACAGGCTCCGCTGTCAGCCACAGAGCGGCATTGATCTGCTCGGAACGAGCAGCGCCCCGAGGCACACGCGGCCTGAGACGCGGACAGCGCGCCGCCCAAGCTGACTCTGCTGCCGAAGGCAAACATATATGCTGTACGTACGTTTTTCGAGACTAACTGATACTTGATACTAACTGAAAGGTTGAACAAAAAATGTATGGACTACACGTGATCGATTTCAATTGAATCTAACTTATCAATTAACATAATTAATAAATGAATCACTTCAACTGAATGCTTTAAAATCGTGTAAGACGGTGGGAAGCCATCGACCAACGATGCATCAGCAGATGCACTGCATGCAAATGGTCTGAAGAGGGCGATCATCAGTTGCCAATACATAGCTCATGAGAAACATGACTGGCAGGGCTGTGTTCTCAACTTAAGAGATTGCTGAGGACAAAGGCGGCTCTCAACCACACTACAATGCGCCCAAACCATTCTACCTGACCAAAACGCCTGGGAAACCGCTCACAGATCTCGCTATAAAAATGCGCTACTTGAACCATTCACACCTGCTATCAGCGGCGTGATGACAAAAGCTCCCGACGACAGTTTCATCAATAGCGCCGTACTAGGTCACTCGCTTCAGGAAACGTTGAGTTACGATCTGATACGTGTGCCACACAGTCAGGTCGCACGGAACTCACCGACCTGTACTGTTCCAGTCGTATCATAAATCACAACGTACATACTGCTTGTCGACACACTTAATCAATCTGTCCTTACCACACACTGCATATCTAATATTTCATACAAGTTTATGGTCGATACGTCAGGTAGAGAGCCAGGCCACGTTAAAGCTAAGCCCCAGGTACGAAAACACGAGTGAATTTGTTGGGCATGCAATTACATGATATACCACGCATCGAATATAGGCTATAGCACACAGAACGCAGGCCTATGCCTACGAATCAAAATGCAGGCGGCCAGTTATAACGAGGTTTGAGCTTACCTGCTTATTACGAGCACTGTCTCGATGTGTTTTTGAACGGTGAACCCGCAGCGCCAGTTTCTCTCCCCGGTATTCACACTTGTCGCACTTGCAGCTTCTGAAATAGTCACAACTCGAAGTACGAATGAATGGATTACCATTTGACGCTGCATAGCATGTGCCAGAATGACGGACAGGTTTTTAAATAGCATGTGCATTGGCTGTGTGTTGGAAACACCTACGCATAGGAGAGAAATATGCTCATATCGACACGACTTTCTGAAAAGCACCTGGTGTTTAAATGACAACGGCGGTACGTGCAATTATATCCCACGCCGACTTGCGCCATTGATTATGTTTCGTAGGTTCAGAAAAAACGTTCAGTTTGCAATCGGAAACAATTTGTCGACCATTTACTGATAAAACATTGTAAAGAGCTGCGGAGAAATAACTTTGAGGGACCCAAATGATGTACACTTTACCAGGGATAACTTGCATTCAATGAGTCGGGCAGCATGCGACAACCTTAGGCAGTTTTTCCGCCGAGCCCCTAGGGTTTTCCTACTCCAGGCATGTTTGGCTGGGATCGGTTTTGGTGTTGATGGCTGGCTAACGGACCGTCTGGCCGACATAGGGCGATCCAGTCCGGAGCCAAATAATCGAGTAAGGTGTCTATGGCGCCAACTCATGTTAGACAAACACTTCAGTGGCCGGATGTCCAGCGCTCAGCTGACTGTGGTACGAGCACGGGCTTTTATTTGCCACATAAACTTACACAACTAACGGCGCGGACATTGAAATTGCTACGAGGCAACACTGGTAACTTTCCAGATCGCTGAGTGATTTGTAGATGACTTGATTTCACGTCTTTGACTTATTTCTGGTCAGGTTGCTTTGCCTGGCCGTCTGCTTGGATCTGGTTGTTAAGATACCAAAAAAGAAGATTGAAAACGCTATAAAACGGATGGGCTTAAGCACGGGGATTCGTAGCCAGCTAAATACAACGATGAACGCTTTTGGTGTTACCATTAACCATGTTCTGCTGCATCGTTACAGGTTAGCCTGGTGGCACTGCGACGTCGGGCTCTAAACATCTGGACATGGCCTTGAGCGGCGTTCAAATTTTCGCAATTCAGAAGACTTGCATCTCCTATGTGTTAATCGAAAGAGAGGAGAAATCATAGCAGCAATGCAAACCAAGGCCGTGACTGATTCGACGGCTTGCATGCAAATGCCTTGCCGATGTCGCAGCTGAGCTCTTAAATACCTATGTCAGATGTTGCTGGGTGCTGCGTGGTGGGACGATCGGCAGGTGTAAGCTTATAGCTGGAAACTGTTGGCACGTATATATAGCACGTAGCTGCCACAGCCAATTCAATTTTCCAGGACACATAGGCCGCGTTCGACCTGTCGTCAACACGTTTGCCAGCGCCAATCACGGCCCAGCATTCGCCCCACATCACGTCACGTGACCACAAAGTCATATGGCCTGCAACGTCACGCGCCAGCTGACGATGATGCCAGTTTTTGGTCAGCCTGTCAGCATGGGAAGAAGGTGTTACCAGATTAAAAAACCTCTTACAAGGAAGCGGGAGTTTGATTTGGTAGCTCTTGCGTGGCCGCGCGCGTAAGGTAATGTGGGGACACTAGTCTCTAGTTTGGCAGAAATGCGACGTAAGATATATAAGGAGGGAATCGAAATGCCATGAGTAGCCATGAAAAGGTGACTGACAGTGATTGATGTCGTGTGTGGTTATGTTCCTCAGTAAATTGATAGCGTTAACTAAACACTTATAAAGGGAGAAGAAACGTAAGTTAATTGGAAATAACAAGTAGCGCTCAACATACAGGATGGGATGGAATAAATGATGGTAACACCGTAACAGAAGCCACACTTCCAAACATCACTTCATAGGTAGTGCAGTGTGTCATGGTCGCCAGTAACCCGGAATGAGTGTGTGGTCCGAAGTAAAAGGTAAGGAAGAAGGAAAAGTAAAGTTAAGAAACTACCCCATCAGCCCAGACATCGAACGCTCCGGCAGCACGCGTGACGTCACGCATTCCAGCTGATAATCGCGCGGACGACAGATCGAGCAGGACCATAGTGCCACATACACCGAACAGGCCAAAATTACCTGTTCATCATTGAAGCGATCTTTGTGTTTTCTTGCACGGTGCACCCCCAGCGCCAGTTTCGTTCCTCGGAAGTCGCACTGGTCGCACTGCAGTTTCTGAAATGGATGATATGGATGATTGAATGGAAATATGAAATGGATGATGAATGGAATGCTCCACATTTTAAGATATGCAGGCAAGGATCAGATATGATGAAACAAGCTCACTTATAACGATTGATATACTTCTTAAGTGGAAAAGACTGCTCTACACGCGTCATTCTCTTTAAAGTAATCTACTCCTCGATGCGCCATTGTTGATAACGTCACTGCACTCTGCACAACATGTCATTGTACTCTGCTGCCAGTTGACAGCCGTTAAATCTGGAAATCGCGCTCACGAACGCCAGATATGAACGACCCAAAAATTATATTTTTCCTGGCCCTGATCGCCGAATGGCTTATAAAATGGCAAGATTTAACTGACGGCATTATAAAGTCATGAATGGCAAGCTGACTGAAATACTGTCCGCCCCTATATATTCCCTTTCGCGGGCGTGCAGCTCAGAAACTAGAGGGGCTCTGGCCTTGAAAAGGCCAGGATGGTGAACAGCACAAAAAGGTCTTTAAGATGGCCATTTTCGTTCAAAACCCCGTCCGGAAATCGTGCTCACGAGCGCGGGATATATATAACTCAAGCATCATTTTTTCTTGGTCTTGATCGCCGCATGGGCTGTGGAATGGCAGGATTTGAAGTACGTTATTATGACGTCATGAATGCTATGGTGTCCTTGAAATACCCTCCCCGAAAAAGCCTCCCTGTCTTCGCGGGCATGTAGCCCAGAAACTAGACAGGTTAGGACTTCTGAGCGACAGGGCAGTAAAGTGCACTGAAATGTCTTCAAGGACAATGTTTCAATTAACAACCCCATAGAAATATGTGACACTCCCTTTGATGAGAGCATAAGACCCTTGGCAATATCCCAGCATCCTTTTGAATTAATCCAGATTTTTAAGGCAATCTGGCTCATTGCCTGCACATATAAAGTATCAATAACAACAATGAGAGCCATACTGACATGGCTTCCTGAAGCTCATTGACTTGTTTTCTCATATGTGAACAGCATGTGTTAAGTGACTGACAGACTGGCAGAGGCAAATTCATAAAGATATCCAAATGAAATGGTTTGTGCACAGCTCTCCCTTCAAGTTGCAATACCTCTGCAAGCTGAAAGTTTTGTTCCCACAAGTTTCAACTTTTTTATCAATCTCACTTTGAAGGCAATCTGGCCTATGGCCTCTGCACATAAAGCATCAATGACAAAGAATGGGAGCGAACACCAGTCAAGACACATTTTGTCTGTGGCCAACACATACTTTTCCCATTTTTTAAGATTTCAAACTTTTTTGAAATCTTAGTCATTGGACCAACAGCATGACAACTTATGGTGTGTAGGCTTGCTAAATACATAACTAACATAACAGCTAGCTGCTCCTGACTTTATCATAGTCAGTATTTCAAAACCTGCATGCCATGTTTTGGATATTAAGAATCATCCAAGTGTAGATAAACTTATGTCATATGGCCTGACATATCCAACAGGTTTCTCACTACATTGTCTAGTGCAACAACTTCTACCCAGGACAATACATGCATGACAATATCACACACACTGGCACTATGTAACAAAATAAGTACCTGAAGCTTGGCATGCTGCTCTTTTTCATGCTGGTTTAAATCTTTATTTGAGCAGAACCAGGCTTCACAGTTTGGACAGGTGTATACCTAGAATGAAACATTGCAGCTTAGCATGCTACTGTTGGTTGAATGACCAGCACCATAAACAGGGTTCTTACTCCTGCAACATGAGTGAAATCACAAGGCTTCATCCAGTACAAATTAGCTGAGCATTCCCTCATATGAATGATCATGTACTTTGGTCTTAGAGCAAAATATGTCACCGACATAAGTACCACATCAAAGCACAGCCCATGTAAAACAGCGATTTACACTTACATATTCAGTTAGTATCTCTTGCCCATCATTACCCATGATAGAAACAAACTCTCCGAATCGCACCTTTCAGTGCATGAACGAGTTTAGATCATACAATTACAAATCATTATCGTCCAACGTCCAATGCTTGAATGGGTTAATAACACCGTCACACAAATCCCACTTCACCCGAAATTATTACGCTATTTTTAATACCCTTGGCTCGGTTAATGCAAGGCCACATAAAGAGAACCAAACTGGCCGGCCATTCTCGCTTCATCTTCTGGCGTGACGTAACTGGTGCCGGGACTTGAATGCGCGGCGGGCCGAGAGGCAACCGCACGTGATGATAAGAGGCAACACAAGCATCGAAATATTCGGACAGATAATGCAAAAGCCGTTATCGGAGGAACATATAAGCAGCCAGCCGCTTGCATATATTTATAACGAACGTGATGCTGTGCTTCGCAAACCTATGCGGCAAACCACCAGAATACATTACAGACGTACACACGATACATATTGGCCATGGGCAGTAGGAACATCGGGCTGTCTTCGTATCGATAACAAACCAACTGTTTATGGAATATGTATATGAGCAGTGAGCCGACTGCGCAAAATTTAGCAACGAGTCTGATGATGCACGTGGCAACCTTAAGCGGCAGGCCATAATACTTTTCGAGCTTGCATCGCGCCGCACCCCGTAGTCGTCCCGCCGCCGTTGGTGCGAGTGAGTGGCGAGCGTGACGAGTCTGTTGTTTACTGCAGCATTTTTGTTTTGCACTAGATGTACCGGAAGCAACGTGCTCGGTCCATGTCTATCTATATTCCGCCGTGATCGGTATGCACCTGTCTAATGAGCCGGCTGTGTTTGGTCTGTACCGGTCTACATTCCGCATACTCGGTCTGCCTGTCTGCGAGGCCGGGCGTGCTCGGCCCAAGCCTGTGCGCAAGGCCGACAATGCACGGTCCCTATCCGGCTGCTTATTCGCCGTGAGTG